GTAATTCTTTTTTTTAGAGAGAGAGAGAGAGAGAGAGAGAGAGAGAGAGGCTACCTGCATTAGCAGAAGACGTCTACATTGAAAAGATTGAGGAAAGCGCAATGAATATACTTCAGTAACATATTTCTATTTTCTTTCTATTATAAATATATATTTGACTTGTGAACGTGCTTTTTGTTTCTCTTCTTCGCTTAGCAACATTTATGCATTACTAATAAAAAAGAAAGGTCTCACGTGTTACTTTAACACCATGTGAACTGAAGATGAGAAAGACCGATGCTTATATATGTAGTGGTAATCTCAAACATAAGTATTACCATTTTGAAATGAGAATTATCTATTTTTAAAAAAATTTGATGTGATTTGTTTCTATTTACGTAGGTCAAATATGTAATAAAGAATACACAAAAGTACTGCACCATGAAATACAAACTAAAAATAAATTAAATCATTTTTCTATACAGATATTGATTTCCTGTTGAGGAAGTTTGCTTATTGGTGAATGAGCAAATAGTTTTACAAAAATGAAAGAAGATAATTTCTTTTAACAAAAGATGCGACTTAATATATATATATGTTGTACGGCAGATTGAAATTCAGTTCAGATTAAAATAACTTCGATTTCAAGAAAGAAAATTTTAAACTAAACTAGGTCAGATCAAAATTAATTTAATCTGGACTAGATTTTAATCTATCCTACAACATATATATAGATAAATATTAAGCTCGACTTATATAATACAGATTTTTTCATATGATTTTCAAGCGTTTTCTCTGTGCGTGCAGCAGCATTAGTTAAATAAATGTAAACAAAGAAAGTATATATATATATATATATAGAAAGAGAATAGAAATACTGCCTGGTTCACTTAATTATAAAAAATTGCTTTTTGTCTTGCAGCAAAACAATTAGTATGTCGCTATTGTTGTCTATTCATCTAGATAGTATGCGTATAGATAACAAGAATGAGTCAAAACTACCAAGTTCAACTATCTATTGTATTGATAAATGTTTTGTTTCTATTTTGAGCGAGCAACATCAGACTGAGGCAATGTTAAAAAGCAATTAATAATTAAAATATTATTTTTTCTTTCATTTATTATATTATATATTAGTGTGAAATAATAAACAAGTCAAGAAAAAAAGAAAAGAGAAAATACAATGATTAATTCTTCTAAGATGATTAGTATATACATTTTCATTTAAATCTGGGTAAAAGTCGACGAAGAGTAGTGGCTGAATGATGTTTCTAAAAAAATAAAAAATAAAATTCATTGCTTGCTTGTTTTTTGTTCTCTCTTACTTTTTTTGGCATCGGAGAACAATCAATTTGTGGTAACATATAATTAATCAACTTATTCTGTTGACAACTTTTTATTAATAATCTTTCCTGATTGATCTTAAATTAAGAAGAAACAAAACGAAAGGTTTTTTTATACAAAAAATTCTTTTCATACCTCTCGGTCTCCTAATTCATCCGAAAGAATCTTGATATGATCTGCTAGACGATCACGAGCTTCAGTTAAATCTAAATTACGGCGTCGTTCAGTTTCATATTCGCCATACAGTATTGCGTATTCCTCTAAACAAAACAAAAAAAAATGTGATAAAAGCGCATTTCTGAATATTTTAATTGTATATTTTTCGTTCAAATTTATTCAGACATTTATATTCCATTTTACTTTTTTTATCATAGAAATACTCAACTCAATTGCTCTTATAACTGAGTGATTTCCTGACATTAATGAACAGCATGCATAATTTTTGTCATTATAAACTATTTCAGAGCTACTACTCCTTTTTTTGCAACGTTCTTTTAGTTTCATATCAAAGAAAACGATCCGACAAGTATATGATTTCAAAATTATATATTAATATAGAAACGAATAATGATTTTTTTCATGATCACAACTAAACTAGTACAACATCAACTGAGTAGGAACAGCAAGGCAAAGGCTCCAAATGGCACATACATGAAACAGAATGAATAATGAGTTTAAATATTGTGCCAATTTGAAATGTCAATAACAGGCGAAGAGAGAAAAACGAACGACTCATGTTAATTGAATTGAAAATTAATTAGAATTTTGAACAAAGCAGCTTGTGGAAGTAAAAACTACTTTTCATGCTTCAAAACAATCATTTATTTCGAACGATTTTGATAATGTCCAATTAAATAAGTTCGTCTGATCGGTCTATCAATTTCATTATGAAAAAAAAAAAGGTGTAAAGTGTTTTTTTTCTGCCTATAAAACATTCTATGCTCATAATGAAATTCATACAATAGATATATATGAAGCGTAGTTAACTAAAATTAATCTGTTACACTCACTTCAATTTCCTTGTTTGCTAGTATCTAGTACTTTTACACAGAAAAAAACCCACATTGCTCATCATGCATGAAAAATGGAATCTCTTAGGATAATTACTTAATTGAAGTATTAGTCTCAAAATACAAAGTTACACAGCTTAATACGTGCTCAGAAATCAAAATAGAAAACTACTTAAATTGATGGTATTGCGCAGCGAGAAAAGAAACAATATCGATAACTGAATGAGTTTCAACATAAAATAAAGTTTTGCCGAGTCTATAAATAGTATTATAGAATCATATATTGGTTTTAATTATTAAAAATCTAATGCGCAAGCTGCTGAATACTATAATATTCTATTAATATCTATTCATATTGTATTGAGAGAATTTTTAATGGCAATGTTGGATCATCTCAAACTCTTTAATCCTTTGTAATAGGATAGGCAACAAAGAATTACCAATCAAAATGTGTCAAAGGATCAAATCCTCTGATATGGCCTTCTTTGCATATATGTCAAACTTGAAACTTGAATTCAATTGAAAATTGAAATAATCAATTTTCAACTTTTAAACCAATAGCATTCTGAAGAATAGTGACTCACACATATATCGCCATAAGTTGAAAGTTGGAATTTTCTATTTTCAACTGAATTCAAGTTTGACACTACTGTAACATATAAAATATTCAGTTTTCTCAAAAAGAAAAAAAAACAACGTTCTGAAATCTGTCTTTAAACAATCGCTATTCAGAGCTCTAATATACAAAGATGAAATAAGTTTAAACATAAATCTATAAGCATGACTTTTCTCTGAAGTCAACAGATCAGTGAGTTCTTGTAATTTTCATTGGATTTAAGCACTTAAATCCACATGTGAACTAAATCTTGACAAAATACATTTCTAAGTGACAATAAACCTACTAACAAAATTTATTCACTCCTTATTTTAGATATTCTATTTGTATACTTCCATAAATTTCTTTGAATAGAACTAAACCACTGTCTACTTGAGGAGATCTGTAATTCTACATACCAATAATTCTATTCATTTGCTTTTCTTTTTCATCCATTTGTTGTTGAATAATACTTTTTCTATCAGTATTATTGGTTTTAGTTTGTATGACAATTGGAATTGGTGTATCCAATGAAGAAAGATCACATTGAGTTTCTTGCTCAATAAGACTCGGAGATGATCGAATTTCTGACGGTATAATTACAATTTTTGATGAACAACATGGTTGATTGATTGATGTTGGTACAATATAAAGAGCTGATGAATATAAATTTGAAATGGGTTCTGTTTGAATATCTCGATGTTCAACTGTTATTACTGATGATTGTGATGCACAATCATTTAAATGAATATGTGGTGTTTGAGTAAATTCATTCGATTGATGAACATCGTTATTGATTGTTTGACATTCTTGATCAACATAACTTTTTTGTTCAATTTCTATTCCATATTTTTCAATTGGAATTTCAACTTCATTGGATATTGGTAAATCTTCACTAAGTAAACTCATGAGAATAGCTATATCAGGTTTATCTAAATCGATATCATATTGAGTTGACACATCAATATGAACAGTAAAATCAGTTTGAATATATTGATCATCACATAGTGTCGACTAAAAAAGAAACAGACATAGATTTAAATGTTTATCTCGAATCAGTTTTCTTACGCTATTTAATGATGATTGTAAAGCGATGCTTTCCGTTAAGATAGGTATTGTTTCGATTTGTTGATCGATATATTCGGGTGTTGTTTGACAGCAATAATTATGTTTAAGAATCGAATCCGTTTGAATTGCTTGTGTATGATAATCTTTTGTAATTGTTTCAGTTGTTTGATCATTTGAAGTCGGTATAAATTGACACGAAAAGTCTTTTAGTTCATGTAAAAGAGTTTGTATTGAACAATCATTAAAAATAGGATTTATTTGGCAAGCAATCGATTCTGTCGATATCATATCGGTTTGACTTGATTGATATTGAACAATAAAACGAGTTGTTTCAATTTCTTGATCTTGACATGATGGAATTATTTGACAACAGAAGTCTTTCTTTTCAATGACTACTATAGGTTCGGGTTCAGTAAAAGCATCAACAAATCTTTTTTCTTGTTGTGGAAAACCAAGACTCGTTGTAAGAACGAATGATGAATCATCATCGAAATGAGCAAGAGGTACGGCTTGTTTTATTGTTCGTGTTGGTGCAAGTGGTGTCGAGACATACTGACGACTCGATAATGATGAACGACGACTAGGTAAACGAAATTGTAGTGACGTACTACCGCCAGCAATATTTCCTGCGCCAAGTGTTGATTGTAGAAGATCAGGTGCAAGATATGGAGTTACTTTAGTTAGATCGTCGAATGCATATGTATTACTTGACTCACTAGAAATATTTAAGTTTCGATGTTTACTAAATTAGCACAATAAAGGCTTAATGTATTCTGTACCAAAAACTAGATTAATATTAAAATCTCATTATAAAAAGTAAAACAGACTCTTGACATGATGTCGCTTTAGCAGAGATTCTTTGAGAGCTCTAGACAAAGTCATGGTTTTCCTAATCAATATCCTTTTTTCTGACATGTGCGTCTTGAAACTCTTCAGCGTTTCCGGCAGAAAAAGAGTCTCAATGATTGATTCAAAAGGAAATGTCCTATTAATGAGTATTGAAGTACTCTTTTTCGCATCATATAGTTGTCAACAGACTAAATCACTTTTTATTATTCACAGAATATACCAGCTGTCAGGACTTATTTTGACTATAAAGATGCGGGGAAAATGTTTGCAAGTTTAGTATCAAGAAAACTATGATAAGATTCATGGGCACTGTACTACGAATTTGAGATATCTTTCGTTCATCTTGATCTATCTTATGCATGAATTTCTATGATAATAAGCTTAAAATTAAATTATATTTATCTACAATATTGACAGACTGTAGGAATAGAATTGTTTCTCTCCTCGTATTAATCTCGTATACTTCTATTATTTGAATATATATAGTGGCCGTCAAAATTATCCAGTCACCTAAAAAAATATTTTTGTTTATTCTATATTTGACAAAAAAAGTGACTGGATGTTTGTAACTTTTACCATGTTCTAGATCACAGTGTCTAGTACGTTTGTGTTTAGTTTCATATCAGAACTTCGTGTTGTTGATTTTTTAATAAAATGAAAAAAAGTGTCATATATTTCACACTTCAAAATTATCTGACCGTCTGTGTTTTTGTTCTATCTTTGCGCTCATCTAAATATCAAGTTTTCTCTATGTTACACCATTCGAAAGAGTAAAATGTTTTCAACACTATGTGCTAGTTTTGTTTTGCATTGGTACACAGAACAAGTCTAAAAAATCGTGTTTTGAACAGGCAGCTACGACTTTATGAGTAAAAAGCTGTGGACAGACAATTTTTTCTACTAATGATCGGGCAAATCTAATGGACAATGCACTGTTAGGAAGAGCATTAAAAACTACATTAGATAATACGTTTAAATGAATACGGTATGACGCCTAGTTGAAAAATCATTTGGAATTTTTAAAAAGCTCTTAATCTAGTAGAGAATGGTTTTCTGTACATAGGCTACTTCTAACAATATGAAACAGACTGCATTCTCAACGTTGAGAATGAATTTTCCAACAAAGATGATAGAAATAAAAATTCACGGAAGCACCTCATCACAACCTAGGTTCATATTAAATGAACTCTGAGGGGAATTTTAACACACGATGTATCAATGGATACAGCATTGAATTTCTACTTAAATTTCAGGTTTAATCTGATTCAATAACTTTCTACTTCATTTAATATGTATTCAAGTTGTTGTTCAAGCTATGGGGAATTTTTTATTTCTATCACAATTGTTGAATAATTCATTCTCAACCTTGAGAATGCAATCTGTTTCATATTGTTAGAAGTGGTCTATGTACAGAAAACCATTCTCTACTAGATTAAGGGCTTTTTAAAAATTCCAAATGATTTTTCAACTAGGCGTCATATCGTATTCATTTAAACGTATTATCTAATGTAGCTTTTAATGCTCTTCCTAACAGTGCATTGTCCATTAGATTTGCCCGATCATTAGTAGAAAAAAATTGTCTGTCCACAGCTTTTTACTCATAAAGTCGTAGCTGACTGTTCAAAACATGATTTTTTAGACTTGTTCTGTATACCAATGCAAAACAAAACTAGCACATGGTGTTGAAAACATTTTACTCTTTCGAATGGTGTAACATAGAGAAAACTTGATATTTAGATGAGCGCAAAGATGGAACAAAAACACAGGTGGTCAGATAATTTTGAAGTGTGAAATATATGACACTTTTTTTCATTTTATTAAAAAATCAACAACACGAAGTTCTGATATGAAACTAAACACAAACGTACTAGACACTGTGATCTAGAACATGGTAAAAGTTACAAACATCCAGTCACTTTTTTTGTCAAATATAGAATAAACAAAAATATTTTTTTAGGTGACTGGATAATTTTGACGGCCACTATATATATATATGCTACATGATTATCCATGAACTACCATTGAATATACAAATAATATGAATACTACGAATACGTGTATGTCTTTCTTTGCTCAAAAAATAATGAAAATTGACTCATATCGTCAAAATAAAAAAAAGATTTCGTCTCATATAAAGAAAAAAAATTGAATAGTTTACCTGAACGAGCTCACGTCACAAGAACTTCTCTAAATAAAAATAAACATAAAAACTTTAATTATAAAGATTTCTTGAAACGTACTTCTTTAAGCATTGCTAACGTTTTCTCATAAATATGACATTGCCGTACCATATCTCTATTTAAAAGAAAATCAACTAGAACAAAAATACCCGATTTTTCAAACTTACTGATATTTAGCATCGATTTTCTTAAATTCAGTTACTTCATGTATGAACATAATTTCAACTGCATGGAACAGACGTCCCAAATAGGGTTTAAATTTTCCATAACCCATTTTATCCACAATGGATACATAACCATCTTTTAGCCGCTAAAGAATAAGAAAAGAATTGTTTTCTCGTATTAATAGATTAATTTAATTAATGGTTTACGTTGAGATTGAATAAATTTTCATGGTTAAGTTCATGATCCGTGCCAGTAGATGAATTTTTTTTCTTAACTTCATCATCCATGATCTTTTTTTCTCTAATTCAATTTTTTTTCTCGTTAACGATCATCTCGCTCGATACTTTGAATGACCGGGTGTTCTTTGTTTGCCACATAACTTGTAAATGTATCATTAATTTTGTTAATTTAAATTTACATTTCAAAATAATAACATAAAAAATTCAAATAATTCATTGAAACTGAAATAAAGACGAATGCCATTATAGATGGCGTTACTAGACAATTCTCACCAGAAAGAAGAAAGGGAAAAGGTGTATAGTGGACTAATGAATCATTAATGTGCTTTTTTTTATCTATACAGTGGAAAGAAAATACAAATTAGGTTTTTTGGGGTTGTCATGAGTTCGGGCTAAATAATAACATTTGTTTCGATTCAATATGGCAAAACCAAGTGAAGTCTGTCATTTTAAAATTCTAATTATCGGCGAATCAAGTGTTGGAAAAGTATGTTTATTTTGTGATCTTTTTTTTTTTTAAATATTTATTCAATTATTCAGAGTAGTTTAATGACTCGTTTTGTTGATGAAACATTTCAAGCAACATTTTTCCCTACGATCGGAGTTGATTTTAAAGTTCGAACATTACTCATCGATGGTTATCAATGCAAAGTTCAGATTTGGTTAGTTGAATTTTCTTTTACTTTTAAAGAAAACCTTGAAATACTTCAGTCTTAAAATAATACAAAAAAAATACATTGCCTGAATATTTACATAGATCAATAATACAAAAGATTACTGATGTTTTCGATATTGGTTACGATTGCTTTGTAGTAAATAAATTTTCAGATATTGTTCTGCATATTTTACGAATGGTTTATATTCAAGAAAACAATTTGTTTTTGTTATTTACTGAATTTGAGATATTTGTAATGATAAAAAAGATACTATAGGGATACTATCAATACATATTTATTTGTATAGAATTCATTCTTAAGGATGTCCCAATAAAAGAAAATTTTCTCGTGTTTACTATTGACTGAGTATCTACTCTTTAAATTGTAAAATACAATCTCAAAGTAGTGTATAGTGTAGACATTTGCATCCATAGAAACAAAGACTTGCTGAATAATGTTTTGCTCTAATATATGAATTGAGAATTAAATAAAAGGATGATCAATAAAATCAGCATGATGTGATGAGAAAGAGTAATATTAATACTAGTATTAGATATTTTTGAAATCCATAGAAATTACTCAAACAGTTATTTTTGTTTGCATTAAACATCTTTTATGAATAAAAGCAAAACGAGAATTTTTCCAATGATTATTACTCACGTTAAAGAAAAATCGTTATAAGCTGCAACTTGATTCTATGAAATGATTATTCGCTTGAATGATTTTGAAATGAAGCGGTTAGATTTAAACTATCATATTTCTTTTATGTTTCATCATATATTCGTCTCGATTTCAGTCTTAACCAATGTTTTGATAGCACGTTAGTCTAGATATACCACCACGTTTTTTTTTGTAGGTAAGTTTAGCTATTATATTACATTTGATTCCATCGATGGTTGTATTTCTTAAAAGCATGATTTTGATGTAACGGAACCTGTTATAGCAATAAACAGAAATAAAAGTTAATTAAACGAAAGAAAAATTACATTATAGTCGAACTTATATCATGTATGCTAGAGGTCGGAAATGCGGCGATTGTTCTTAAAAGCAAGTATCTATAAGATAAGTTAACTTGCTAAAATAAAATTTGCCATGCGGCAGTTTCTAATGAATCAAACCGATTAGAGATGTATTAAGTATACAATGTAAAACATTTTGTTAGTTCTTATCTTAATCAGCATTGCATTTCTATAACCATCAATTTATCTATTAGGGATACCGCTGGCCAAGAACGATTTCGCGTAATCACCACTTCTGTAAGTGTTTTATTTGTTTATATTGTATAGTACATTTTTTGTTTTGTTTCTCTAGTATTATCGTGATGCAGCTGGTGTCCTCATCGTTTATGACGTAACCAATGGCGAATCTTTCTCTCGTATTCGTCGTTGGATCGATGAAATAAATAAATACTGTGATGACAATATAGCTAAAGTACTTGTTGGCAATAAGGATGACAATCCATCGACAGAAGGTAATCAAAGCGAAAAAGTTGTAGCAACATCAGATGCTGAACAATATGCACGTCAAATGAAATTAACATTTTTTGAAACATCAGCAAAAGATAATAAAAATGTTTATGAAGCTTTTTATGCTATAACACGTTTAGCATTGCAAAGACGTTTAGAAGCACGCGTAAAAGCACAAGAAATGCAACACAATGATACGACAAATGGTGGTATATCATCACAAACTGTTCGATTAAAAACATCGAAAAAATCCAAGAAGAAAGATAAAAAACTTAAGGCGGCATGTTGTAATTAAATCATTCCTATTGCTTGGTTTTCGGATGTTGAATTCTTTTTTTCTTCTGCGTTCCACTAGAATTTATGATTCTGAACCTGTTATCTCGAACATATCATCTTTCTAGGATACTTTATTACTTTTTTCGTTTATCTTCTCTCGATTTTGCAAATTCATTAAAAACAAACTTTCGATTAAATCATTCAAGACAAAATATAAGTAATATGTAAAACAATAATTTATCTCTTGTTTCAGATATGGCATCACCAGCAAAAAGTCTTGACCCTGTTCAAACATTTAAAATTCTTATTATTGGGGATTCAGGAGTAGGAAAAAGTTCATTAATGGTTCGTTTTGTTGATGATATTTTTACACCTGCATACATTACAACAATTGGTGTAGATTTCAAAATGAGTACGATCAATGTCGATGGACATCAATGTCGAATACAAATATGGTTTGTTGTTGTTTTCTGAATATCTAGGATTAGCAAGAAAAATAGGAATGAATTGTGAAGGAACGTGCTTCACAATTTTATTTAAGTTGTAACATAGAAATTTCGTTCAAATTAAGAATTCATTATGAAATCGTCTTACAGTGTATTCATGTTTTAGGGATACAGCTGGCCAAGAACGTTTTCGTGTTATTACTAGTAAATAAATAAAAAATATGCCTCATAAAGATCTCATCTTCTATATTCTTATTCTAATAGGTACTTATTATCGAGGTGCTGATGGCGTGATTATTGTTTATGATGTACGCATGAATACTCTTGATTTCGTTCTATAATTAATTTAATATTATGCTTCAGGTAACCAATGGTGAAAGTTTTGCTAATTTAAAAGATTGGATCACTGAAATGGAACGTCATTGTGATAAGACCGTCCCAAAAATTCTTGTTGGTAATAAAGATGATAATGATAATGAGCTAGGTAAAGTTGTCTTAACTAGTGATGCACGTGCATATGCCGAACAAAAAACTTTACCATTCTTTGAAACCTCTGCAAAAGACAATAAAAATATAAGTGAAGCATTCAATGAAATAACTAGACTTGCACTTAAACGACGCCTTACTCAATCTAATAATGGACAAACAGCTGCCGGTGGTACACGTATCGCTGCAAAACGAACAGTAATTAGTGGTGGGCCAAAAAAATGTTGTACGACATGAGTGAAATACTACAGATCGATATTGTTTCATATTTTCTTGCTGTTTTTGTTTTGCTATCTATTTGAACAACTTTATAACGAGTGCAATATCAATACAAACGGTTTTACCTTTTGTCACCTGTTCTTTTTTATACACGTTCAAACACCAATTAGCGATTTTATTTTCTTCTCCCTCTTCCAATCTGTCTTAGAGAAACAAAGACACGACAATAACAACAAATTTTGATCTCTTTTTCTTTAAAATTTGTATATCGTAATGATTTCCTTCAACGGAAGTCAGATTAATGCTTCGTTTTATTTTCTAAAATAGTGTATACATGTGTGAATCTTTATGCATTCGTTTTTTTCTTATCCTAATGATTAATGACATTCAGCGATTGTATTTGTGTTTATTATGAAGAATGCTCTTTGTATTTGACTCTAATTTTTTAACAATGAAAGAAAAAATAAACATATTTGTTAAAATTATCTATTAAAAATAAGGATCCATGCTTTAATTGTGAAAGATTGTTATGACTTCGAAATTATTGAAATACTATTAGGTCCAGTTCATTTTCTTATTTCTGTTCGTTTTCAAAAATTTTCGATGATTATCACTTTAACATATAGAGTATAAAAATCTCCTGAAGATCATATGAGATTGAGTTTTGTAGATTCAAACGCAAAAGCATAGAAAAAATTAGTCGAGATTGTTTAAGTTGAAGTGCATATCCAGTGTTCGAAAGACCTGTTTGATTGATTTTTCGAATAGAAACGAATCTATTCAAAGAATTCCGTTGTATTTTGAAAACGGCTACTACTGTAACAAAATGCAGATTTCCGATCCAGAGCTGTCCATTCTGAAAACAGAACAAAAAAAGCCATTTTAAAATATCAGACTACGTGTTTTACAGTTTGCTGCATACGCATTATAGTCGTATGAGTCCACCTTAATGATTACTAGGCAATTATGATCTATGCAGAACAAAAGTCCTATTCGTTTCAGCAACTGATCAATTTACAGCTTTGTAAAAATAAAATTACAACGAAATTGTAAAGAAAATAAATATTGGTGAAATCGCCTTTTTGTTGATGTTGATGCATCTAGTTGATACAACTAAGATTCAATGATGAAGATTGATAATTTTTCTCATCAAATGTATATTTTTAAATACAATGAAATAGGTAATATTCACAAAAGAAAGCATGTATGCTTCGGAAATGGCTTAATTCATGTAAAGTTATCTACTTCAACTAAGTTATATTTATAGATGTCATGCAAATTCGTTGATACCTACCTTTAAAAAACATTTAATCTTGCATTAACGGAACTCATCCGCGTTTATAAGACACGATAATAACGATGAACAAGGCAACTTTTTAATGGCTTCACCTTGTTTCTTGTTCGTGGGTGAACAACGCATGCATGATCTTCATTTATATATAATAGTTTAGAATAATATTCAGTTTAATATCCCATACATTAACTTGATACTCAAAATGCATTGTGATTTTCCTGAAAGAAATAATTTTCAGTACTAAATGAACACGTATTGCACTGTTTTCTATTGGACACCCAGTGCTCTTAGCGGACTAGAACCTGTTATAGTCATGTGTATAATAGCTACTATCATGCATGGTTTTTTGTGGATTCAAGTTTTATCATTTTCATCATTACGAAAACAAAATTTGATTTGGCTTTATGCGTATTTATTTTCTAATACTCTTCTTCTGGTACGTTTCTATATTCTGTATGGTATGCGTCGTGGAGAAGTGTGCTTGTTTTCAACACTTGAAAACATCATTTGCTATTTTGAAGCATCATCAAAGGGTTATATCAACACTATTCAAAATTACTTTTTATTGGCCTTTAGCATTTCTCGGTATTTACGTATTGTTTTTAATCGAAATACTTATAAAGGAAAAATTCACTTAATTATATTACTACATTTTCTTATTTGTACAATAGTCGGGCTTAAAATAGTTGTTCAATTTCGTGTTGGTTGGACACAAATATGGCGTGCACCTGGAAGATCGTGCGATATGTTATTTGAATCAGCAATAATTCAAATTTTAAACTTATTTTTAATGTATATTATTCCTGTGGCTTTGAATATAATTGTTCTTGCTCTTGCAATAATTCATGTCAGTTCAACACAAGGGATTAGAAGCGAACAAATTATTCACATTCGTCAAAGGCGACAACGAAAACTTATATTGCAAACAATAGCTTTTTATTCTGTTTGGCTTATTTTATGGAGTCCAGATATTCTTACTTTCCAATTTACTGATGGCACTAGTGGAATGGCTATATATATTAGTTTACTGTGTTATATTGAAATTGCGCTAGATCCGCTGATTATTGCAATAATTGATCTTCGTTTTTTGCAAGTATGGCGTAAAATATGGAACACGATACACCGACAAGAACGAAGAGTTGGCACTATTTCATGAACAATTATGGCTCATCTGTTGTTTATAATTAGATTAGTGAATCTATGGCATCAACGGCTTTATCAATTTTGTTTTTGATTACATGAAGAATCAATGAAGTATTGACACTGTCTCTCACATCCCTTACCTTAATTGGCTTAGTAGTATGTATGCAATCAAATAGCATGAGGCGCAAAAGTCTTTGCAATAATGTCAAACGCATGTTAGACCATGTTGGAGATTTTTAATTCAGCTGAGTTTTTTCTTGTTGGAAAGAGCAGTGTCTGAACTTCAAATTTTGTACCAAATATATGTTTTTAGGACGAATTTGGAAATGAGGAAAAGGCAAAAACTAAACGCATGAAAAAAGGTTCTCGCAACTTCGCCATCCAGCAGTATCCTTTTCTATTTCTATTGAATTTTTTTAAAGTGAAAAAGAGAATAAATCACGATCAATGGCGATTTTGTAGCATAAAGGATGCACTTTCCAATGGTGTATTGAAAGGTAAATTTAGTTTTAGTTTTTGTACTGAAATATTGCTTTTTTCGAGAGAGACTGACAAATTTGGTCGTTCACACAATGTGATCATTTTGAACCTGCAAAAGATATTTGTTAGGTTATTTTTACTGTCAAGTTTCTAAGGTCTGATATAATTTGCATAAATAATGCGACCAAATAGAGTTCATACATGCTTCCTGGTAGATATTCTTGAAAATTGATAGTTTTTTTCAATGAGTGTCTTTTTTACAAAAATTTCGTTTTTCAATTTTTCTTATGAACGACTCGAGAATGAATCAAAAAATCTTCCACAAGCTGGAATCGATAGAGGTTTTTCAACTCTTCATTGTGGTGTATGTTTTGTTAAATTCTGCTCATGTAGTCTAAGATATATCTGAAATACCGATTTTTCCAGGTTGCACGAACGTTTTTTCATGCGCTTAGTTTTTGCCATTTCCAGATTCGTCCTAGAAAAATATATTTGGCACAAAATTTGAAGTACAGACACTGCTCTTTCCAACAAGAAAAAACTCAGCTGAATTAAAAATCTCCAACATGGTCTAACAGTGTTTGACATTATTGCAAAGACTTTTGCACCGTATGTTAATTTAAATAATTCAATATGTGAAGACATCGAGCAGCTTGACGTTTGGAAATGAACACACTTGTATACCTTTTCAATTTTCTCTTCATAAGAAATAAATTATAGTCAACACAAAAATTGATAGCAGTGATCTCATATACGTATGTGCTTGGCCTCATCATCTGTTGTTTTGCAGCGAAATATAACTGAATCAAATTTAAGAGTGATTCTTTGTTAATAACGAATCGTTCAATCGGTCAAATGAAGTAAACCGAAAGTATTGCCCGTGCTAATATGTTGCTCACAACACAGCAAAATCTATAGAAAATACTAAAATAAAATCCTCTACAATATCGATACAACTATACAGTAGATCTGAACATTTCTATTTAATTCATTGAATAAATTTTCGACTCACACTATTTCTAAGAGTTATGGTAACTCAAGACAAATAGTCAAATATCTGATGATATTTTTCAAATCTTTTCGTTTCTGTGATAACAACAACAACAGGATTTTTTCATTTTCTTGTTGCTAAGATATTGTTCTGATTTTGTCTCGTGTTTGTTTTCTATAAAGTATAAATTACATACTGTAAAGCGAGTTAATTTTTTTTTCAAAGTCTTTACATTGATAACCTTCTCGCATCTACTAAGAAGTCCTATAAATAACACGACCCAAAATCATGTTCCCGTCAGATAGAGAAATAAGATACAAGTAAAAGTGATGCAATCAAGTAACAGACAAAATGCTGAACTAAATATTATACCTTTAAAATGTACCAGAGAAAATATTAATTGGTCTTGTGAGTATTTTGTTTTTTTAAGGTTTTGGTTTTCTAGTCTCTTTCAAAGATTCACTCCTATTTTTCAAGTCATGGGGCGAGAAAGTTTTAAAAATATAGTATGGGCTCAAAGCACGAATATTTTCTACTGGTTTCGAATTCTTTCGGAGAACTCGGCAATATTGAGTGTCGTAATGAATAATCAACGATTTTCCAAGTAATGCTTTATTTCGAACAGTCTTCTTTACTAACATTTTCGAGAGAAAGTAGTCACTATATGCTTTGCTGATATTTGTATAGATTCGTAGAAGAACACATATCCTCTTCTTCTTCAGTTATACACTAGAATAACTGGATCTTAGAAGTTTTTTCTTAGTTATACTTTAGCACTGCTTTGAAAACAGTTCGAAAGAACTTTTCTTTAATATTCTATAACTTCTTGCTTCTGTTATGTTAAATGACATGACACTAGCTACCAGCATAAAAGAAAAAACAGCTATAGATCTATTGCAAATACATGAAAGTCTTAAATCGAACATCAGAATCATTCTCTTTTTGTAATTTTCTATGAATAGATCCGGATAGACCCTGGAGCAACCATGGGATTCTACAGGGAGTACAATAACGTATGGGACTTTAATACGACCTATATAAAATTTACTGACGATTGAAAAAAGTTCTAAAGCTCTGTGCCTAGGAAAGGAAAAACATCTTTAATTAATCAAATTTCAATAAAAAACTTCTGACAAAATATGACTAGCTGTCTGTAACCGAAGGGAATAGCTGTAAAAAAAAGCTCAGTTATCTTAACATAAATTAAAATTTGACTGAAATGTCTAGATTTTTTTTCATTTTATCAAGAAACATAAACGAAAGCAAAAACTAACTATTCGTAACGAGATAGAATAATCCTTGATTCGATAGTGTCAAATGCCAATGAACAAATATCTAGTAATTAAAGGAATTTTTAAAGAATATTTAACATCGATTTCAAAATTCATATTAATATTGAGAAACATCATGTGTTCTCTATGTCTCAGAAAAATTGGCACCACTAAATAGCAGAACAGTTCAAAAATGTCTTTGAAAATCATTCAAAAAAACATAGAAATAAATTGCATTCGAATGTTTATGTGCAACGAAGACTTGCTATAACCGTATGATCAAGCAGAAAAACCTTGTTTTTTGTTGTTCTTTGCTAGATGTCAATCAATTACAAATAATGAAGCGCTTGCAAAATTTTATCAGGATTTTAAGATCAAAAGGCTTAATATTATTGACTACTCGGTTTATAGAAATACTCACATAAATCGAATGCTGCAACGACAAACTATAATTGATGGTATGATTTTCACTATGTTAGGCAGCTAACGACAACTGTTGAGAAAAGTCTCGCTGCCATACTGTACAAAAATCGGTATAATATGGACTAATGAACTCAACTTAAGCCTACTTGACACAATCTAACAACAGAAGAGGTTTAGTCAGAAAATTTAATCTGACAAAAATCAACATCAAATAGTAGAACGATCTTTATCCAAATATCAAGAGACGAAAAAAAATGAGTCCGCCACTCTTTTTTCCGTCTCCTCCACTGTCTGCAAAAAGGGTTTTTTTCGTTCGTTCTCTCTCCTCGTTGAGTGGTTCGTTTTACATTAACGCATAAGTTATCAATCATACGCCGAGTAATATTTTCTTATGGTTCGCATGAATAAATCAATGTTTACTTACGCAGAACAGAAAAATTCGTATAGGACATTTCATATCATAACTTTCTTTTATAGATGCAATGTCGGTGCTAAAACACACATTATTGGTACTTCTATGTTTTTCTTTTCAAACGTTTTGTCATTCAAAACCCAATGATAGTAATGATGACATCGCTCAAGAAAGTTATTTTCAAATAAAAATTTCTATCCTTTCTAGTTGATGTTTGCTCAATATGGTCGAACAATTGGAAATTTAATGTTGATTTAAAAGATCTGATTCATACAAATGTTAAACCCGCTGCTGGCCAAAATGCTGGAAAATTTTCCAAGTAAAATGAGAAACAACATTTTTTTCGTTTGGTTTGCTAATGATTATCTCCTAGAATTCATGTCAATGGATGGGATGAATGTGTTGCTCAATGTTGTCAATTTAGTCGTTGTAATGTTGCCTATTGGGTATCATCGACATGCTTTCATATTGAATGTTCGTCGGATGAAATGTGTCAACCAATAGAGATGGTTGACACTCACCTTAGTGATGATGTGTTTTATTTAAGAATTCGTTCTGTTCGTAAGTTAGACGTTCATATGATTTTGTAATAGAAACAAAATATTAAAAGTTTAGATTTAACTGCAGCAGCTGCTGATTATGATGATACAGGATTTGATGAATGTAATGAAACGAAATTATGTCCTATCAATGAAAAATGTGAGCAAGTATCAATTAATGCTGAGTTACAACGTAACGTATGTCTCTGTGACGGTGATAGCGAGTTGCGTCGTATTAAAGGTATGGTACCATTTGTTCTCTTTTTTCTCGTTGATATATTTTTCTTTTATCAAAGGTGTTTGCCGTCAATATTTACCACGTACGAAACCGTGTGCAGTGTATGAAGCGGATTCAGAAACTAATCAATATGACGATGATTCAGATAATGATAATAGAGGGAAATGTAGGAAAAATGAAGAATGTTTACCGCCAAGTGATCGTGCTAAGCATGGTTATTGTCAATGTAAATTAGGATTTACAAGACTAGACTCTAGTAGAAAATGTGTCATCGATAATAAAGAAGAACAATCAACAGAAGTTCATGTAGAATCGTCTACGAAATCAATTTCGAGTTCATCATTAGACGATTTTATAGTTGAAGCTGGTGACGATCAGATAATAACATTACCAAAAGATGAAGTTGATTTAAACGGACGTGTTCTGCATAAATCAAATAAAAGCGGAGTAGCCCTATCAATATTAAATAATCAACATTTAAATCTACTTTGGTCATTGAAAACATCAACTAGTGAAGCTAAAGTTGACATTTCTAATCAATCAGATTTAGCATCACATGTCGTTGCTAAACAATTACGTGCAGGAATATATGAATTTGAATTGAAATTAAATGATAAACAAGGAGCTACATTAGCATCTGATGTTATTAAAATAGAAGTTATTTCAAGTAAGAAAATCTTTTTGAATAGCTTGCAAGGCCACCTTTTATTTTCTATCAGCCTGTACTTTTACCTATTTATTTACATCTACTGTCAAAAACAACAGAAGGAAATCAACTCACTGATTAACAGAACCACAGTCTGACAGAGCTTACAATTTCCGTTGCATCTATTTGTTCGTCTCTTTTCAGGAATTATTTTCAAGAATGAACGGTGCGAGCAGAAGTTAGACGTACTCATTGAGAAACCTTTCAAAGTTTATTTTTCTTCTATCATTGTCCTTACTATTTCAATGTCAGTATTTGCATGAAAATAGATTTCTTAAATGTAACAACATATTTTATTAGAGTTTAAAATTATCTGTTTCGCTGAACTACAGGAATTTAAAAATAATAGTACGACCACTGTCCAGCATTACTTCTTGATTTGTGATAAATTTAAAAATTATATTGAGAAGAAAGTGAACCCAATTCAGCATGTTGTAGCACACCCTCATGGTAGTTGATCGTTTTGTTTTTCAGACAAAAGGTACAAGCACTCTTAAGATTCATAATTATATATATTTTTTACAGTGTGGTTTTTAGAGACGATATACGTAAATTCTTTTTTTAAATCGACTAACACAATTTTTTGTTTCAGAATTATTTATGCAATGTAATTGTAAAATTGTCATACATATAAATCTATCATAGTATTGGATTCTGAATGAATAAATTTAATATTTGATTTCTTTTTGATAAAAATGGCAGATGTAAATTGTAATGCTCTATTGATAGGCAAAAATGATCTGATAGCACAGCATTCAAAGTGAGTTCGACTTTATGCTATTCATATTTGATATTGATTCTGTAGATAATATAATAACTGTAACAGGGTTTCGAGCTGATTTTGATAAACTACGTTTACTAATCGATCATATTGTCATCTACGATAGAAATCTTTTTATTTAATCGCATCAAGGTTTTCATATAGTATTTAAATCATAGTTTTTAGAAGATTTCAAAGAATTTCTTTGTGATCTTGGGTTTTTAATTAGTTCTAATTTTTTGATTCTAACAATAGATACTAATTTAGTGACGAATAGTAATAATAAAAACAGTATTATCATACGCCGCTACTACGTTGATTTTCAGTTATCAAAGTATGCATGAATTTAGTAGTTCCAATGTCAATATGAGGGTGAACATTGAACAAAGTTTTGAAAACCGTGACATGAAATACTAAAGTAGCACCGCCGTACTGCCTGATTTTCAGCTTTGTTGTATTCTTGATTTGTAATGTAGTCTTCATGATTCTAATCAAATGATAAGTTTATTTCAAAACTCATCACCGATTTATTCTTGGTATTTTTTAGAGGCAACGACAGTACTGCCTCTTGTGGTCAAAGTAATTTCTCCAGTATCAGTTCGGTTACCACAAACAATAATTAAATTAGAAGCTTCTGTTGAACCTTCGAGTCGGCACGTTACGTATCGATGGACATACAAAAAAGATGGCCCTGTCATGCCGCTTATTGAAGTAAAATTATTTTTCAAAAGTAAAATAAGAGTATTGTAATTATAAATAAATTATCTATTTATAGAATATGAATACATCTGATTTATTAATATCAAATATTCGTGCTGGTACTTATTCGTTTCAACTAGATGTGATGGATGATAGCGGTAATCAACAAACAAAAACTGTCCAACTCATTGCTACTGGCGGTAAGAGAATGATTTAGAAAACAAAAATATTTAAAAAAGAAATAACATATTGATTTTTATTATTATAGATCCAATTGAAGCTCGAGTAACACACAGTCGTGAGATAGTGTTTTGGCCATCCAATGATGTTTTACTTGATGGAACATCAAGTATAATTGAACAACAACAACAAACACATGTTTTTTGGACATTACTATCAAATGATAATAAACAAGATGCAAATACCATCGAGATTATTTCGCCGCATTCACTTAAAACAAGAATATCAAATCTTCGTATTGGCCAATATAAATTTCAATTAGCATTAGTAACAAATGATAAACGATATACATCAAAAGCTGAAGTTCTTGTTGTTGTCTACTCACAAAATGGTCAACCACCGAAAATTTCTATTAATTTAGAAACCAAATCTGTTAATATACTTAATAATCTTATTATTCTAAATGCATCAAAAACAACAGCAGATTATGGTATTGCAAAATGGCAATGGGCTAAAAGTCCATTGTGTCCAGCTATAGGTCATTTTATAAATAATTCAAGTTCATCGCCTATTGCTTATGTAACAAATTTAATCGAAGGGCAATATATATTTATTCTTCAGGTGCTTGATGATAGACAACAAATGAGTGAAATGAATATAACAGTTAATGTAAATGGGGTGCCTGATGCAGAAAATTTAATTGAACTTGTTTTCTCATCGAAATCATATTTACATCAGCAAACACTTGATAATCTTCTCGCACAAATACGTGTTTTTCTTATTGATTTATTACCAAATATTCATATAATCATGGTTGGAATGTTACATGAAAATGTATTATTAGTCAAAGGAAAAGATTTCAAAACTGATTTAATTATTTCGCCAAAAATTCTCGTCAATCATTTACAAGATAAGATAAAATCATTGCGTTCAGCATCAAACATGAATATTATATCAATCGACACATATCTGTGTTTATCGGATTGTTCAAATCATGGAAAATGTAATCAGAAAACAAAACGTTGTATTTGTCATAGCTATTATATGGAAAATTGGTTTAAATCTATTGTTCAACGAGAACCTAATTGTGGTAAGAATTCATTTCCCATTGAAATCCACAGCTTCATAGAACAATATTTATTCTAAACATCTTTCTGCTCAGAGTTAACCAGAATTCTTGTTTTATAAATTCTTAATTTTTAAGCAGATCAGTAAATATAACACAACTCAGAATTACAGATCTTTTCTGAGGAAACAACATCGTCTTCTAGTAAGTGATGAGAGATATCACCAAAATAGCAGGAGTCTAAAAGAGATCGTTTCTGGTGATGACAGAGTAGACCTTGAACTGTCTTCTCATGCGCTTATCTTGACTAAGATAATTCTGGTGGTAATTGAGTGTTTTTGAGGAGGTGATTTTAATAATTTAAAAACTGTCATATTCGAATTTCTCATGTTAATATACAATACTTTATAATTATTAAGTAATCAGCAATGCCTGGATAATTTTACTATGAAAAACATTTCACAATATTTTCAATTATTTACGAAAATGTGTTTCATACGATGATCATTACTAGTGCTTTCTGTTCATTTGTAAAATACATTATTTCATGTGATGATAGTGATGTTGTAAATTGAACTTAGCAGTTACTCATATAATTGTATTGATTTTGTATTGTATTAATCTATTTTTTTTATCCTAGATTTTGTAATTCATTATTTTGTTATAATAACAAGTATTAGTTCAATATTATCACTAATATTCTGTTGGTTCTGCACATGTTGTTGTTTACGTTGGAGACGCCGTTATAATTTACTGGAACGTCGTAAACGTATACGTTATCAATTATTAGACGAAAATGACGATGAAGGTGCATACGATTCAACTGAGAAAACGAAAGAGAAATCTCGTTTTTTCAGAAGAAGTGTGTAGAAAAAGAAAAATAATTGAATTCAAATTTAAATAAACTATTTTCTTAGATAAAACAAAAAAATCGAACATTGTTATATCTGCATCTGATCAATCTGATGAAAATGGTGAACAAACTCTCTATGACAAACCACTTCTTACAGCCAAAGCAAACATGAATTCACCAAAACTAAGAAATCGTGGATTAACAGTTGCTGTACAAGACAGTAATGGAATTCCAGTCTGTGACAATGTACAATCGCAAAAATCATCAGAACATGGTCTTGCCTAATAATCTAACTCAGACGAATCTCTTCCGTTGTGATCTACTGACGAAAACACAAACAAAAACACCGAACTCTCATTTTTTCTTTGTTTTTTTAAATCTATATGCATTATCTATTTTCAAGTTTATGCTGTTTATGTTTAGTATGATATTTGAAAACTTATATTAACTGTGATTGTTTTTCATTTTCAGATTCTTTTCTTTTTTCAATAATTATGTCGCTTATTTGTTATCGTAAGTTTGTTTTTGACCTGTTGCAGCTATCCTTGCTGTGAAACACGAATTAAAACAAGTATTGAAGTACATCAGTAGAAATTTACAGTTTGATTAAAAACTCTGCCTGACATTGTTGTGCCGCAGTCATAAACAATATATATATATACATAGATATAGATATGATTGTATTTCTGGACTACTCAATAAATTGATGACGAATAAATTTATTCGAAAATAGAGAGTATGACATCATTTTCCTATCATAAATGATAGTAGCCTAATTGTATTTCGTATTTCAATCCCGAAGGAAATCTATAAATAGTTGTCGTTATGAGTAGTTATTTTTTTAGTTTCAAATGAAGTTCCAGAACAACCTGTTCTTTCGCCTGTTTCTGGTTGTATTTTTGAAAAACGCTTAATCGTCAAATACTTACATGAATCATCAATCGACCCGGTCAATGGTCAACCATTAACTGAAGAACAACTAATCGATGTTAAAGGTAACTTTTGAATTATGGTTTATATTAATCATAATATTTGAGCTATTTCATTCATTCGAAATGTAACTAAACAGTACTGAAACATGTATATCTTTCGAATTTTAACTTTGCTAGCGCTCATTTTTAATGCGGTGCGAAGCACAGCATTTATGTAGTCCGTCGCGAGTTTTTTTTTTGTTTCTTTCTAACTTGAGTACGCAATAAGTATGGAGATCGAACTTGTTACATCTTTTTCCCAATTTTCAATACTAGGTTTCGTTCGCCTAAAAATATCATTCGACAGTAATGATTTTGAAAGGTTTTATTGTTTGATAGTTTCGCGCTAATTAAAATGACGTCATGAATAGTGTTAACCAATAGTCTATTGCTTTACATCTGATTCAAGATAATGATTCATGAAAATAATTAATCGTTCAATGAAAAAAATCGTGAGAAAACTGGTTGTTACATTTTCAGAAAGATCTCCTAGTGATGAAATTCAAAATGGTCGATTTAAGAATAGTGAAATCGAGATTTTTATTCAAAAATCGTATACGGAAATTTAAAAAAAATAATCGATTCTAATGAATCTTAAAGTAGATCATTTATTTTTTAAATCTCATTCTCGCTACTTTTGAATATTCGACTCGTGTGCTTCGCACCGCATTTCGTAGTCGAGTGAAACTCGAATACCATCTAGTTTGTTTTGGTTACCAATTTAAAAAAGAAATCTAAATTATGATCAATTAGAAAATAGTTTGCTAAATCCAACTCTTAGAAAAAAATTTTCAGATCGTTTATATAATTGTATTTGCATTTTGATTTTCGAAATTTCTTTTTTCTTTTCTTTTCTTTTCTTCGCTTTCTTTTGTGTCTGTCCCCTCTATCTTTAATTAAATCTATTATTCGAATCTCGACTAAATTCTCATGTCAACTGTAACACATATAAACTCTACTGCCACATACATATAATCCTAAAAATGCAAAGATTGCTAGCAGTCACAAACATTATGCCAAAGTAAACTAACACTCGTAAAATTCATCTTGAGTAGTGACAATATTGATTTTTGATTGATGCTACTTCTAGATAATTATAATGATGAAAACAATTTACATCACTATTCTAGCCATCATTATTATTGTAACACTAGCGCTACTACAATGTGGAATGTATGAAACATTGGGAGATGATAAACTAAAGTCATTTCCCATCGATTTATCTGTTTATACTCGACAAATTCCTGTTCATGGCTTAGTTGATCCGGCATGTAGTCGCACAAAAAATGTTTATGTTTGTGCTGGCATCTGTCCTTGGTCTAACACACCGAATAACGAGCGTATTGCATGTTTCTTTCTTCCGCGTAAGCCGAATCCTGACTTTGTCGCAAATAATATTTATTGTACACCTGATCCTGATCAATGTCCATCTTACAATGCATGGTTGAAGGACGATCTACCACAAACACGACAACATATCCAGCGAATACCTGATAATCTTATGTCGAACTTTACACTGAACTATTCGATACCAATTGATTATAGCAATCAACAGTTTCGCACAACCGATACTTGGCCGGCCAATTGGACAATTGAGAGTATTGAAAAGTATCGAAAACAAGTACGAGCACGTGAATCTTATGGCTCTTACAATAGTAAAGATATATATCCTGCATTGGATAACTATGCATCATTAGCTATTATAAATAAGACATGTGCAGTCATTGGAACTGAAAATCCTTGGATTGAAGCAGCATTACTCGAATATAATGCATCGAGTGTGACGACGATTGAATATGCTACGATCTATTCGAGTGCTCCTCGCCTATATACGATAACACCAATGGATTTTGCAAGAAAACAGAATAATGCGAAGGAACGCCAACTATTCGATAGTGTTTGGTCCTATAGTAGTATTGAACATGATGGTCTTGGTCGATATCGAGACCCATTGAATCCATATGGTGATTTTCAGACAATGATAAAAATTACATGTATTCTTAAGCCAGGTGGCTTTTTATTCTTGAGTGTACCACTCAATACTCACGATTTCATACAGTTTAATTTGCATCGTATATATGGCCCTATTCGTTTACCATTATTATATCGACATTTTCATGTTGTCGAAGTGTTAGGCTCAGGGATGGCAAATCGTCATGGTGATTCTGGTACTCAGCCTTTCGTTGTTCTACAAAACAAAATAGGCTGTAATAGTGCATAGTGAAATTGAAATGGTTTTCATATTTTTAAAAAGAATATTCTGTTTAATAAATCACATAGGGTTTTTTTTGTAGAATCTGACTTTTTTTTATAGTTGAACTAAATGATTAAGCTGAATAAATAATCAGTTCGGCGAAGTATTTTCCTCATGAATCTTTTTAACTTACAATGGATTAATTATGTTAGTAATAAACAGAAGTTTTCAATTTTCTCTTTCTTAAAGAAAAGTATATGCAATCGTCTTTGACCTTTTCAAGATTTTGATTATGTCGATGAATAAAGCTTTCTATAGTATGTGTATTTTATAGGCTGATATGTTTCTAAAGAAGAAATCAGGATCTAGACTATTCACATGCATTTAGTCCTTAGTGAGCATGCTTTTGTAATTATTTTCATATACTCAAGTAAAATATTGTAAAGTGCGCACATCAACGTTTGCTACTGTGAAGACGTCTGATACACAAAGACTCAACCTAGTTGAACTTCTGAGTAGCAATGTGTTAATTGCCAATCAAAGCACGTTTATCGACTGGATGAGGAAAGGGTCTAGTACCTTCATGTTTGTCTTGCAACAACAAAAAAAGGTGCTTGCCATTATAGAACAGTATTTACTATCACGTCACGCTTATTATATGTTGAAAAGGTCATTTGATGATGATGCAAAAAAAACTATTCTCATAAATTTAATTAAATTGGATACATGCGGTATCTTTATTAAAAATTTGTTTCACATCGTTTGATGGATCTATCGTTTTCCCATTAGGTAAACATGAGTTGCCTAATTCGAATTCGATTATAAATGGAGAATGAAGTAATCATTACCACTTCGAATATAAATAAAAAAAACGACCGCACCCATGTTAATTGCAGTAAAGAAGCAAAAGAAAAAGTTTCATTTATAAATTGATAAATAAAACTTTTTCTTTTCCTTTTTTGATAAAATAACATGGAAGTGGCGTTTTTTCCATTTATTTTCGAACTCGAATTAGACATCTACTCTAGGTAAATCAGGTTCTACTGAAAATATTCCAATAATGCTTCAAGAGTTATACTTTCATGGAGTGAAAACATTCTCTGCGCATGTTATAATTTGAAACATTTCTTATTGAGTGTTAAACAGAATATGGGATAAATCGCTTTGGTCGATTTTGATCGTCGGAGAAAAAATTCACGAACAGTATTCGATATTGTAGAATATTTCCAGTTCAATAGCACTTTCGTTGAAATTTCAATTTCTTATCGAATAGATTCTTTGTGTATTAGTTATGGTTTACCACATACCTGTGCCGATATTGATGGCACGCTTCGATGATTCTCCTTCCTCTTCCTTATGTTCTCTTTCCATTGTTATAATATATCTCTTTCCTGTCTCTCTTGTATCTCTCTCCTATATATGTGGGTGTTATGTATAAAGTTGTTACATTCTGGATATGTGAAGAAGCGAATAAACATCATTACCTTGAGTGGCGGTAAGCTACTCCGCCTCTATCCAGTTTGTCATTAACATATCTACCCACATAGGGTCCCATATATATTGTTACAACGACCAATTATATCTGAAGGAGTTTCTGTAGTTAGATTTTTTCCTACCGCTATAAAACAAAATAGCAGTAAACAATCTCTATACAATACAAGCAAGTGAAGTAATATTTTCTTTCATTTGTTGTCAAACGTTTGTTGGTAACCGATGAAGATAATAAAGAAGATGTTTGACTACTACTCTTGATGAAGCACGGAACTACATGACCGGCCGTGTCACTCTTGAAAAACATGTTGTTTTTGTTTTGACTAGTTCACAACATAAGAAAAAATCTAGAAAGAAAAAAATATAAAGCTTTTTCATATATATCAAAATGTTAATCATGTTTAAAATCATTTCTAATCTCGGTTAAACAAAACAAAGACATAGATTGTACAGAAAAAAGACGATCAAGTGTTTCACAAATATTATTAGTGTCATTGACAGATATTCGTAGAATAGATGATAAAGAATTTATTAGTGCCTCTTGACGATATTTGTTAACACAAACAAAATAATCACTATTCTAATCAATGAAGACTGCACAATCACCATAAAGAATTTTGCTATTATGCGTATCATGGTAGGATACAATGTGACTAACACTTTTTAATTGTCTATCATATAATATTGAGTGAAATGTGATGGAAGGTAATTTGAATCGTTTATAAAATTTTACTTGCCGAAGTCCTATGAATTCCTTTAATTTTTCTCGAAATTCTTCGAGTATAGGACTTCTGAGAAAAATTTCATTGACACTATGTGATACTTGAAGACCTGTTTCAGTTTGGTTTATAATTTATGCAATATCCGTCCAATAACTAATCTGAGAAGCTAAATTTCGAGTGTCATGCGCTTCCTTTTTGTGTATCTAATACATGATTCGAATGCATAAGCGGAGGAATACGATAAACCGTCATGATGTCGAACTTGATCAGCTAAATGTAGATGGCTATGCAAACTATATAATTCTACAGCTGATGCATAAATGAGTGGTGATGATTCCCAATAAAATTTTGATAATTTTTCGGCTAAATTGATTTCTTCTCCATTTTCAGGTGCATGAAGAAGTTTAATGGCTACTACGTAAGCGGCGAAATGAAAAAGATGCGACTTTGATAATATATTAATTAATATTGAAAGACCTGTGTACAGAACAAACTGACGACCATGTGTGGCTTTCCACTGGTTTGCTTTACGTAGCGACAAGTCGACACGAATATTTATGTTATGAGGGATACGTTGTTTTGACAACTGCTCACCAATTAATGAAACATCACTGTTATTTAATAGCACACGCCCATTTTTAATTAACACTCTGAACAAAATTAACATGTGTGCGAAGTTGATCATCATTTTTTTCATATCGATATAAGATCACACGATATACTGTGTTGTACTCACCTAATAATAAAAAAAAGGAAACTTATTGTTCGAAATGATTAAAGAAAAGATAACAGTCATCAGTAAGTAACCAGACTGTATTTAACTCATCAGATGAACGACACCATGTACATTCAAATCTTCCATTAAAATTGATTGTCTTTAAAAACAGTGACTTAGCAGGAAGATCCGCTGGAAAACCTTGTATCCGAACTACAAAATGATATTCTTGTTCGTTTAAGGAAATTGCAGTACAATAAGTTTCGAGTTGTGCAAGTATATCACGAAGAAAAACATCAGCATCTGGTTTTCTTCGACTGGACCACAATCCTAACGTAAGTAGATTATGTTGATAATATTGATGAGGTGAAGGTATCTCAAGAATGCAGCCATATATTGGCCAATGACTTCTTTTGGTGCTCCGCACGATCAGAGAACGATCCGCATGCAACAACGATGTCAATACATGTTCCTATATTAAAAAAGCAGCATAGGGAATGCACTGAACTTTACAGAACATCTAACTCATATCTTCTTTAGAAATCAACGAGACGAAAATTTCATTTTTATATAAATAAATATCCCTATTTGCGACAGATGCTTCAATAATCGAAATTTGTTAGAATTTGAATAATTACTCAACCTTTCAAAGCGTTTTCTCTGTGAACAATATCAAACAAAACAAAAAACTCAATTCATTTGTCACTCACTTGATCTTTACTATTTTCCATATAATGAACATAATTCACCACGTATCCAATAGAAGTTAAGTTAAATCTTTTCTTTTTAAAAATAATTTAGCGTTTGCTTTCATAATTCCATGTAGACCAGCACGAATGTTCAGTGTAACAATTTTAGTCACACGACTGTTAAATAAATTTTGTTTATAATATGAACATTTTGAGTTAGAACACCTTCTCGTACCATATTTCATACTGATTGTATCATAACCACAATGTTCACAAATGTATTTAGTACAAAATAAAGGATTTTAACCAAAAGCTTTCAATATAGTTTTCAATGATGTAGGTAAATAATTCGGCTGTGGCAACAGAAACTTGATGATTTTCAGCAACTTCATAGTATTATGTTTATCAAGATTCGCAGTAGTGGCAAAATTGCTGATTGTTTTAGTAGCACATATGACAAAATATTTACTATTTGAAAACAGCTGGCTCGGATTGTCCACGAACTTCAAATCATTTTGTATATCATCATCATCATTATCAAGAATATAATCTCAAACACTATGATGAGTTGAAGTGGTCGTAACTGCTACAGTATCCGTCGAGATTCTACCAGGCATATCGCCCATATCATCACTGTATGTATCATCCCTATCCGATAAACAAATATCAAAAGGGACAGCATTAGTTTGTTTCCTTTGTTAAGCACGTCTTTTTCATTCGGCATTCACTTTACTACTGTAATAATTCCCGGACGACATTCCAACCAGCTTTAAAAAAAAGCAAAAATAATTCAGGAGATTATACAAACAACCGATTTATCTGATCGATAATCAGGTGGCAAATAATCAATATGAAGAATAAACTGTAGTTCGGAAAAAGATCTAATAAAATTAAAAAAAGATTAACATGAGTCTATCAGACCAAGGAACCTGAGCGTGATGAATAGTAAATTATAAGTATAAGCGAGATCTAAAATTACAGGAAATATATGAGACACATTGGTTGAAATTACGCCTTATTGTAGAGAAGAGGCTCATTGGAGGGTCAATATTAGCAGTGGCAGACTTTTGATCAGCAAGACAGTCAGACGAAATGAATTTAATACGTAGATAAAACTGTTTCAAGCACAAGTATACGACTGAAACCGACCGAAGCCTAGAAAATTCGCTAAATGTACTATTTTTGTTTCGAGATTCGATACGGAAACGAACGAATCTAACGGTAGTTCGAAGGTGTTAGTCAATTGAAAACAATGAGTTCTCTTCGGGTGGTATCAGTTTACATTTCCGACCTGTTTAAAACAAATAATATGTGTATTAGCTGAGTCGAATATACTTTGTGAGTATATTCATATGCTTACCGGAAATTAATAACTAACCGGGGATATCTATAAAAAATGACGACATGGGGATGCATCGCTTTCATGAAAACCCAACGGTATACCGGCGTTTCTTTTTCGGTTTGAATCACATGGACCGTCTGTTATAGCGAAAGATAAAGTGAGAGAAGTATGTGCGTACGTACAACTTGTACGCTAACTTTATTTAACAAGAATGTCTTTAAATATAATAATAACATCTATATACAGAGAGAAAAACAAGAGAAGAGCAGAGAGAAGACAGAAGAGAAACAAATCTAGATCAAAGAAGATGACATATATATAGATATATAGAGTTTTGTATACGAGCGACATCCCTGTAACACCGTCCATGAACTTTTAAGAAATGAAAGAAAATAAAAACCATGACTAACAATGTTTGTTCTTCGATTGTAGCTCCCTCGAATAATATGTGGCATTGGGTTTTTCTCTGTTCTGCACTATCCATTCTTTCTTGCTTGTAGCAAAAGAAAAAAAACTTCTACCCCTCGCTCAAGTATAATTCAGCATGTCTAGTTGTAAATTTGTGATAGGTTAATATTGTATGTGTTTTATTTGACTTCTTTATTTTGAAGGAATTTCATATTGATGTGGCATATTTATCGACTTCATACGAAGTCTGAAAGAATACGCTCGACGATTCTTGCAAACACTTCGTTCAATTAGAAAACTGTGGAAAAATATGTATGTATATTCGTTCGCCTAACTACAAAAATTTGTAACTAAAACCAAATGATGTTTTCTTTTCCTTCGAAAAAAACTCTCACAATAAAACAATATTTTTCATGATGTTTTAATAAATAATACTCCGCTGAACCTGTTTGAACAATAATTTTATTTTTTCTGCAATGATTTTCAGCTACACTACTTGAACCTAGTGTATATTACATAAAGACATCTAGTTTTGAAAATGTTTTTTTTTACTAACATATTAGTATATTTGACATCATGCATTTGGTTATACACTTGTATAACAGAGATATGCATATACTTACACCTAAGCATGAACATGTAAGAAACAAAGTAGCACTTTGATAATGTTCTACAAGATTTGACACTCGTATGTTTCTACATTATAAAACTGAGTTAAGAGGCACAATCAAGGGGGAAAGTGCAGGTTTGGAACCCCCAGCACCTCAGCACCTTTTCAGCACCTTCAGCACCTTCAGCACCTTTTCGGCACCTTCAGCACCCGCAGCACCTTTTCTATAGCGAGATTTACTTCAGTCGTATGGAAATGAATCGGAAAAACTACTTTCATTTTCAATAGTAGAGGTGAATTTTTTCTTGAATTATTCACAGAATNATTATATACTAAAACAACTCGAAATCTTCAACTTATAACATATAGTGATACTTTACTATATCGAAGTGGATAACCTATGGGTAATAACTCAAAATGAATTCTCGGTATTATGACGTTGAAATCTCGATAAACAATGTAATGGTATCATAACATATGCTCCTTCATTGTAGTTTGATGAGTTCTCAGACTTTGCAGTGATAAATCTTTACAGATTTTGCTATGAATGCATCCTGGTTGTCGTTCTTTTGATCGAAAACCCTGTTTTTCAATATTTACCTCGATCAGATCACATTCACATCATTTTCACGTGTTACTATGTTATACAAGACTTCACTTAAAACTTTATGTAACTATTTATCGAATATTTCCTATAAAAAGAAAAAGATCGCCAAATTTTTATTTATTGTGACAAGTCTTCTTATGTGTAATCAATTTAAGTTTCGATTATTTCGAATTAATTGATTTTGCAAGGAACTATTTTATCACTAGTGATTATCATCAGTACTTAGGTCATATCAGTATCATACAGGTTCCGACGATGTGTAACTATATTAAATATTGTAATTCCTTATTCTAACACTCGACTCGATTTACTAAATTTGTTTTTCAAACGCTTTTAACTATTCGAAAAAGAATTAACTAGTAATTTCTATGTACTATGATTGATCGACATACTTTTATGCAAGTTCCATCCTAAAAAATAATACCATACTAAGACTTAAACTGTTCTGATCTGTATTGATGTTTCTGATTTTTTTCCAAAAATGTGACTTGTCTATTCCCCTAAGTTTTAGACAGGGCGCTACAGCCCCTGAGTTCCGTTTACGAATGTAATTATATGTGATTAGTATTTTTTTTAAACAATGAATGTATTCAAACAGTGGTAGTTGTTATAAAATTCAAAAAAGAAACAGTCAACAAATATTAACCGTGTAGTGGATCTATTTTTATTCTTTTCTTCTCGTCATTTCATAAAAAAAAGAACTGACTAGTCCATGGAACCTATCTGAATAGGCATAATGTGAGTGCAAAGAGGAAACGCACAGAATTCTACACATAACATTTTTATTTTTGGGAAAACTTTCTATAAAACTCAAAAATTTTCGAAAAAAGTTGTTCATTCATAACTGTAATTGTTATTTTTTTGTTTAGTTTTAAAAAGAAACAAGCGACAATTGATCTACATCAATAGAGTTTTATGTTTTACACCTTTTAGGTAACGAAGAATTTTGAATAGCACGTACAGATTTATCAAGAGCTGATTTACATTATATTTGAATTTTCTCAGTCATTTTGACTAGCTATCTGCAATTACCCCCACTCGTTCTGTACGTTGTATCCGATTACTCCAAGGGGGGGGGGGGATAAAATAGTAAAAAAATTTAATTTTGATAACTATTTGAACAATATGATAAGCCTAATACTAAGATTCTCATCGTTTGAAGAAAATCACTTTGTCTATCGATCTGTGAAAAAATAATTAATCAATCTTTTTAAGGTTGATGAGAAAACCGATTTTTAGTGCTTCCATGAAAATAGCTGGGAATATGCAATTACCCCACACGAGGCAATTGTGTATTATTGGTAGGGGCTAATAGTAAAAGAGCGATTCAACAACTTCCGACAATCTGTTTTTGATAATTTTTACACAAGTTTGTAGAGAAGACATTCAACTACCCACAAAAAAAAATGAAAAAAAATTCTTAAAATTGACTGAGTTATGGTAGAAACAAAAACGAGGAGCGATTTTTCATATTCAACAGCCCCAATCTACTCCATACGGTTTACTCTTTTTTTTGTTCTGTACTATTCAGACCGAACATTGCACGGTGACAACAGTGTTTCTCCCCTTCGCAGTGCAATGTTTGGAACAGAACACAACAGAACAAAAAAGAATAAATCGTATATATAATCTGTATTTACTTTAAGATAGTTTAGTGTTGAAAATGAGCGTATGAAAGAGGTCGAACGCTTCACTGTGCATTTTTTTTATTTTTGTTAAAATAAAGAAATACATAATTGATTGATGAGTTAGCATATCTCGCACTAACCCATGTCCAAGAAAACGGTCCGTAAACCGAACTAACGGATTACCCCGAAATAAGACGAAAATGAATGCCTTATTACACCGTTTCATAGCTGTTTCAGACCTTTTAAGATGCTCGTTCAGACGGCCTAAACGATTGTCCTGGGTAGTTTATTCAAGTACGTCTCATCAAACAACGTAAATATTTTCCGAGCTTTTACGAAGAAGTTACGTCGTAAGTTTTCATGATTGAAATGTTTGCATATACTTATCTGATTTTTTCTATAGTGGCATCCTTTTTACTAATCTCAAAGAATAATTGAGTACCACGATTAAAAACATTACTTTTTTTTAACTCGACAGTAATATGCATACATACAAATACATGCAGATAGAACCATTGAATTCTTAGGAATGACATTCACATATAAATATTTTCACTATACTTCTTTCGCTGTTCTGTACTCAGCATTGGTAGGTCTCTCACTGAGAGAAAATGAAGGATGCGAAACCTATTCTCCTTAGATGCTAAAACGTTTACGTTATCATGTTTAATGAATGTATAGCTTTTTTTTAAGTAGTATTTCCTTCAAATGGTTCTAGTAAAAATGATTAATAAAAGTCATGCTTTTATGTTCTGTTTCTATTCCTAAAAGAAGTCCTCGCGAAAAATCATACCGGTTTGTTCAGATGCCTTCTGTTTCAACAATTAATCATTCAAAACGGATGCTTTTCCTCAGTTCGCAGATAGTCTTACGTTAAATAGGATATCGTCATGAACAATATTGCTTTTTCATGTATGAGAAATAGGAAACTTGATCATTTTAACTATCAGTACACTTGTCATAATCATCTTGAAAAATACCAAAGATGAAATCTTGTTTGCAGACATAGTTATTTTAGTCTATAGAAAATACGATATAGAAAACACAAACGAACGCATCGTCTTATGCAAAATACCAAATAATGTTCTCAATTTTTCTTCACATTACAGTAAAAAGTCGTTTTTCATGACATCTCTTATCACATTATTCCATTTTGTGACTTTTTCGTCATGAAATTACCGATGACATTGCTAAGACTTCGAGCAATCTCAAACACGATACCTAAGTAAACTAATACTTGAAGAACTCATCAATATGTATTTTTCCTCAGCGATACTTTTAGATAATTATAATGGTGAATAATAATCAAATTGTTTTTATAACAATAGTTGTTATTATTATTACACTCGCGTTATTTCAGCGTCCAATATTTGAATTGTTGCAAAATCGTCGAATAGAATCACCAATTATCGATATATATGCCCATTCTCGATCGCTTCCTGTTCATGGTTTAGTTGATCCGGCATGTAGTCGCACAAAAAATGTTTATGTTTGTGCTGGCATCTGTCCTTGGTCTAACACACAGAATAACGAACGTATTGCATGTTCCTTTCTTCCGCGTAAGCCGAATCCTGACTTTGTCGCAAATAATATTTATTGTACACCTGATCCTGATCAATGTCCATCTTACAATA